CCCAGCTCTGACATTCCATGTTCCAAGGCTCCCTCCCAGCTCTGACATTCTATGTTCCAAGGCCCCTTCCCAGTTCTGACTCTATGTCCTAGGTTCTAAGACTCCTTCTCAACTCTGACAGTCCATGTTCCAAGGCCCCTTCTCAGCTCTGACATTTCATGTTTTAAGGTCCCTCCCAGCTCTGACATTCCACGTTCCAAGGCCCCTTCCCACTTCCGACATTCCATGTTCTACGACCCCTCCCAGCTCTGATCCACTGTGATTTTCTACCTTTCCTTGGTGGGAACCTCAGTTTACCTTGAAGTTCCTGGTGGGAGGGAGCCTTCGCTGTTCCCAGAGGCTGAGGGAACGCTGGAGCTCTTGCGATGGGCTGATGGGCTGTGACCCAGCTTGGCCCAGACTCCCGAGCAGGGTCAGGCTGGCTGCCAGGCTGGTGAGGCAGTAACCCCCTGAGGACAAGAAGGTCTCAGGTGAGGGCCCAGGGCAGGTGGGGAGGATCAGGACACACTGAGGGAGTGAGAAAGGCAGGAACGGGGAGGGAGGGAGCCAGGAAGGGGGGCACTTACCCTCCCCTGTGAGCAGGCCGGGCTCAAGCAGTTCGGCCATGTACTCGGCCTCGGGCAGCAGGTCGGGGAGGTCACACTGGGCCAGGACGGCACTGAGCAGGGGCAGGAATTCATCGGCCCCGGCACTCTCCCCTGCCGAGGGAGAGGCCCTTAGGGAGGCTGGCCCCTCTTCCCCACAGACTCCTCAGGGACCCCAGGAGGGCTGGGGAACGGACCCTGGGCCAGCTGGTGCTCGGGTCATCCTCACCCAGCTCCCGGGCTCTGCCACACCCGGCGATGAGGGTTTCTTTTCTCTTTCTCTCCCCTCGTCCCAAAGACCCCAGTGGTTACTGCTTTGTCTCCATTCGCCTCCCTGCTCCACGAGGAAGGGGGTTCCAGCCCAGCCCCCTCCACTGTTTGGATGTTAAGGTCTTGGGAGGACAGGAAGACAAGAAGGAGGGGGTCTCCTCTGAACAACGTGGCCCTTAGCCCAAACTCACTTTGGGGGGCCTCTTCTGAAGCCAGACAAGGCTAGGGGCAGGTAAGGAAGCAGAGAGCCCAGGAAACCAAGGAGAAGAGCTCCTCTCCCCCAGGGCCACTGTGGTCCCTTTTAGAATAGATTGGGGGAAAGTGAGACCCAGAGACCTTGAAGCAGGCCAGCGGCTTCTCCTGGCCAGACCTGAGAGCCTCTCTGTTGCTCCGGGTCTCGGCAGGAAGGTCCCCCCCTGACTCTGACAGGGTCTCTTCTCCGCTCTAAGCTCCCCCTATCTAGGATTCCACACTGCCCGTCCTCAGGCTCTGCCCCAGCAGGCCAGTACCTGCCCAGCTCCTCAGGGCCCTGTAGAGCAGCTTGCAGGCCTGCAGAAGACGGGTGACCTTGGCCGTGGGAGAGTAGCCCCGGAGGAGTTTCAGCAGCTTCTGACGAATGCGCTCCATCTCTGATGGGGAGGGGAGACTGAGGCAGCTTCCAAAGGCTGCGGGCCCCTGCGCCCTCGCCAACTGGAGGCCTTGTGTCAGCCGGCCCAAGGAGCCGTCTTTGGCAAGGCGGAGCCGCAGGCGGGCCAGGAGGACAGGCCTGAGGGGCTTCAGCACTGAGCGATGCAGAGACTTCTCTATCACACGCTCTGGGAAGGGACAAGAGGAAAGGTCCATGGAGGGCGGAGGGCCAGGTGGACGTAGGGACCGGGGAGAGGGGGAGCTAGGGGGCTCGCAGGGTCCGCCCTCGTTGGATCCAAGGGAGAAACCGAGGCCCAGCCAGAATTTGAACTCAGGGCTTCCTACAGCCAAGGTCCTACCCTCTATGGACTGGGGGCATGGGAAAGTGCAGTAGGAGCATTTAGGATGAAATGAGCAGGACAGTGTGGGGAAGTGGCACGGGGGGTGAGGGGCAGGACGGGACTAAAGAAGCAGGAGAAGAATGGGGATGAGGACGAGCCCGGAGTCTCAGAGCTGGGGGGGGGGGGGGGCCCCCCCCCCCCGGCCCCCCCAGCTAATAGCTTCTCTTGGGCCAGCTCAGCCACCAACAGGGTCTGGGCTTGGCTCAGCACCTCCCGCACCTTCTGCAGCTCCCGGGGTTCCGGCCCCGCTCGCACCTGGGTCAACAGGTCTTGTACTAGCTGCCCAGTGACCGTCTGCCTGTCCTGGGCCAGCTCCACCACGGCTCGGGCCACTTGCCTCTCGGGGGCCAGGAGGGAGCAGAAGGCGTCGCTCATGGATCGAAGCAGCCGACGCCGCCGCCCCGGGCGAGGGGACGAGGCCGGGCTCCTGGGCGGCCCCCCCTCCTCCTCTGAGCTGCTGGGGGAGCCGCTGTCCACCTCCCGGAGGGAGGGCAGGGAGGGGAGGGGAGGTGCGGTTGGGCCAGCACTCCCTGGGACCCGGTAGCCCCCCGAGCTTTCCCTCCTCAGTGGCCTGCGAGGGGGCACAGTTTGAGTCTGGGCAGGGGGACCCCCGGGGGGCAGCGGCACAGGGGGTGGGGGAACGGCAGGGGGAGACAATGGGCTGGAGGTCTCAGTGGACACTCGAACCTTGAAGCTCCTCTTGAATTTCTCCCGTTTGGCCGGTCCCAGATCCCCGGGGAACAAGGGGTTGAAAAAGCAAAGGGCTCCTCCAGTCCCCTGGTCCAGCTCCTCTGGGGACCGAGGCTTCAGTCGGGGGATTGGTGGGGCCTCGGCCGAAGGGGCCGCGAGGCCTCGCTGGGCCTTGCTGTTCAGAGAAGAGTTCCAGAACTCTGGGGAAGAGAGAATTGAGGCACCCTGAGCTTCAGTTTCCCATTCGTAGCGGGAAGGGCTTGGACTGGTCAGTCCCCACAGATGGGCCCTGGGATCTTCATTTCCCATCTCTAACACGAGGGTTTGGTTTCCCATCTCGGAGGTGAGATCTCTTTCAAGGGTAAATGCCACTTTTCTCAAGAGCAGAAGGAAACCAGGGGAGATGAAGGGGTCCACTGGGACCCTCCTCTCCTGGCTCTGTGGTTCAGAAAAGCAGAAAGTACGTACCCATTCCCAGGTGAGATATAGCTTCTAGCTCTTTGTGGGTGGTGGCTCTGCGGATGGCTCTGGGCAGCTGGAGAGGGAGGAGCAGTATGTCCCTGGAGGGCAGAGGGGAGCCCCAAGTCAGGGTCGAGGGGAGCCCTGACTGTACTGCAGAGAGGGTCTGAGTTGAGACCAGGGGACTTCCTGGGAGGGGACGTGAGGCAGATGCATGCTGCATGCTCCCCTCTGAGTTGGGGGGGGACGCCAAGGAGGGGGGCACCAGGCTGCTCACCGACTGTGACAGTATGTGGAAATGAGCTGGATCAGGTCTGGGAAGGAGAGTTCAGAGCCCTCCAGGGACACAGCTGCAAGGGAGGGGAGGCGTCCATTCTGGGAAGGGGCAGCCCCCTTCTCCTTCCCGCCAGCCTGCCCCCCACCCCAGACCCGCCAGTCCCCTCCCCAGCAGCAGGCCTCACCCTCAGGGGTTTCCCGGATGTCGTGGCTGGAGACAAAGGAAGGTCCAGAGGCTTCGGGGAGCCTGACACACAGGGCCTTACACTGCCTGGTGTTGGATTTCCGAACCAGGAACGTCTGATAAGGGAGAGGCGGAGGCTCAGAGGACCATGGGCCTGGGCCTCTCCCTCACATCCTCCCTGCCCTCATCTTCTCTCCGGGTGTTGGCGGGGCCCGTGGCCCCCCGCGTCCCTCACCCCGGGGGGCTCCCTTTGGAGCACGTGGAGGGCAGCCGCAGCGTTGGCGCTGAGCTGGAGCCACACGGGCTGGGTGAGCAGCAGCCGCTCCCGCAGGCTGACGGTGCGCCCAGAGCCCCGGCGCTGGCCGGCCTGCTCCCCCCCGGCCTCAGGGATGTCATAGATGGGGTCTCCCGGCAGGCTGCAAAAAAGAGACATCGAAGTGGCTCCGAGAAACATCCGCCTCCCCCCCTGGCTGCCAGACCTTGCCCTGAGTCTTCAGAGCCCGTTCCTCTGGGGGTTGCCCTCCTTCCCTGCCAGCCTGCCCACTTGTGCCCCTCCCCCCCATCCTCCTCTTCCTCCTTCCCTCTATGCTAACCTTCCCTGCCGCAGACTCACGAGCACACACTCACACTTGTACACAGACACACACACACTCACACACACGCACGCACACACGCACACACGCTCTCACACGCACACATGCTCCCAACCTCCAACTTCCCCAACTTTTCTCGGGGCAGGTACCTGGAGGCAGAGCTGGACCTGGTGGGGGGCAGGAGGCCAGCGCTGGAGGCTTCCCCAGAGGGCTCCATGGTTGGCAGTGGGCTCCCCAGAGCCCCGTTTCCCTCCTCTCCAGCCTAAGAATCCAGGGCCCCGAGCGAAGGCGCAGTCACATTCCCAGTGAGTAACACTTCCTGAAGGGAGCTCAGCCCTGGCACACCCCAACATGTTAACTCTTCCCTGCCCACAGCACCCCTCCCGGGCCCATGCAGCACCAGCTGCCTCTGCTCCTGTCAGCACCACCTGCTCACCACCCCAAGGTGCCTGAGGACCACAGTGCCCTGAGCAGCTCAGCTCAGCTCTACCATCCTGTGCTCCCCCCCACCCCACCCTCCCAAACCTGCAGACAGGAGCGGGTTAAGCTGGGCATCTGCCGTGGGCCCACGCAGGACCTGGTGACTCACCCATGGGGCATCACTCTGCCCATTCTTGGGTTCAGCCCCCCCCCCCCCCGCAGCAGAGTGCCCCCCCCTGGTCACCGGCTGGCCTCCCCCCCGCATCTCTGCTTGTAGCTCCTAGGTTGCCATGGTGAGGAGAGGCTGCATTTCCCCCACATCATTGCCATGGTAACCACCCCCTTTCCTGGGGGCGGTACTGACAGCATTGAAGGGGGATGGGGGCAGCCTGGCTGTGAGGTCATTGGTGCATGGCTCAGCTGGGGCCTCTCTGCCTTCACCCCGCCCACCCGGATCCTTTCATGGTCCAGTCCAGTGGCGCTGGGGCAGGTAGGTACCTGCCCTCGAAGTGGCTCCTCCCACAACACACATTCCTGAGCTGCCCTGCTTCCAGCCTGGGCCTCTCACAGGTCACAGAAGCTGGAGGCACCATGGGCCCGTGGGCCAGAGCAGGCCTTTGCAGGCAGAGGAACGGGTTCAGATCCCACTTTTTGGGGGGGGGGGGGGGGGTTGGAGTTAGAACAAATATTAAGCACCTACTATGGGCCAGGTACTGTGCTAAGCACTTTACAAATATCCCTTCTGAGCCTTACAGCCCTGTGAGATAGGTGCTATTCTCCCCATTCTACAGCTGAAGAAACTGAGGGGTCCCAGTTAAATGACTTGCCTCGGGTCACACGGTCAGCGACCCTCTGAGGGAATATTGGAACTCAGATACTGACTGGAGGCCCAGTACTCTATCCACTGGGCCACCTTTCCGTGGCCCTCGCAGCTGCCTTCTTTTGGGGCTGGCAGGATCCTAGGCCAAGGTGGTCCCTTCCCTTCTAATCTGTGATGAATCCTGAGGAGAAGGAACAGGAGAGACCCAGGAGGAGACGAGGTTCCATCCTGCCCTCATCTGCCAGGCGGACCCTGAGCCTGTCTGACCCTCCGAGGTCAATCTGAGATCTGGTCCCAATCCATTTTACAGATGGGAAGCTTAATGTCCAGAGTCCCCGGTTTGCCTGGACTCACGTGGGCCTCGGAAGCCAGGAGCTGGGATTCCAGCCTGGCTCCTCGGGGTGCCAGCTGCCAAGAGCTCAGGAGACCACGTCAGCACGACCTTGCCGCTTCGAGGAGAAGGTGGGCCTGCCCCTCCCCTCCCAAAAGGGGAGGTCTCATTAGGCCTCCCAGTCTGGAAGGTGGAGGGGCGGAGGACAGGTACACAAGAGGCAGGGCAGAGTTGTTTTAATTATTAAATTTTAATTATGTTACCATGATTCTAATCCCCAGGACTCTGGGAAAACCTGGGTTCCTTCGTTCTCAATCCAAAAATATGTCATTTCAAGGAGCTTCTAAGGGGCAGCAGAGAGACATCCAGCAGGCCTTGGGCCCCTAGCCCTGGCAGCCTCAGGTCAACAGGACGGGTTCCAGCGACCCGGGCTAGCACTGGGCCATTCTAAGAGTCTACTGGCTCTGAGAGAAAGTGACAGGGGATCCGACAGTCCCCCACGTCTGGGGACAGGCATCCAGGACACCTGGGTCAGCCCCACATCTACAGCATGGTGGCATCCCAGTTGTCAAGAGGCGAGATGGTGGAGGAAAGGGTGGTGGAAGCCAGGTCATGGAGTCATCTGGTGGCTGGAGGGCCCAGCAGCCGGTCCAGGAGACCCAGGTGTCCGGTGAGGCCTTGGGCGCAGCTTGTCTGCCCTTCAGGGGCTGAAAGACATGAAATCAGCTGTGGGCAGTGCCATCTGGGCAGGAGGGCAGCTGCCCCGGACCAAGAAGGTGGGCAAGAAGGGAGGCAGCTCGGCCCCGACGCATCCAGGTGGGATCTGAGAATGGGACCAGCAGGGCTGTCTGGATGCTTCAGGCAGAAGGGCCAGCAGCCTCAAATAGAGCCCTCAGGGCAACCTCCATCTGAGGACCACAGCTGCTCAAGGTGGCACCCCCAACCTTAGGCGGCTTGGTGGCCAGCGGGGGTCACAGCCAGACACCCAACAAACCCCCTTCCCCTCATTCCCTCAGCAGTGGGACCCAACATTCCCAACAGGATCCCAGCCCACCTCCAGCCCCCCAGGGCCTCCTGTGAAGAGGGGGATGGGCAGCCCTACAGAGGCCCATTTCTGCTCTTACCCTCAACTTTCCTCTTCTGTGGGGACACAGCCACCTTAGCCTGGGGGAGAGAAGAAAAAGTGCCCTGTTCCCACGCTGTCTCCAACCCAGCATGCTTCCTGCTCTTCCCCATCATCTCCAGTCCTTCCTGGATCAGGGATTATGGGACCTCAGGGTCCAGCTAGACCAGCTACTACCATGTTTTACAAATAAGATGTAAGGAAGCAAACTTGAGAGGTGAGATTTGAACCCAGGGCCTTGCACTCCTACCCCAGTGGCCTTCCAAGGGGCTCCGAGGCAGGACAGCGGAAGCAGAGGCCCTGCCCAGGGCTCTCCCACTGGCCCAGGCTTCCCTTTTCTGGGTCCCCTTCACCCAGAGAGCTGACCCATACTGTCCACATCACTGACCCAGATGGTCATGCCCTCGACCTCATCGCTGCCCAGCACTGGAGTCTCTCCTTGCTCTATGCTCTGCCTTATGTCCCCAGCTCCCTCACCCCTCCTTCTTTGCTGCACTGGCTGATCACGCCGTCCCAAGCGCCAGCCTTGGACCCCTACCACTATCTGCAGCCTTCCCGCCTATTCACACGCTGCTCAATGGCGCCAGTGACCTCTAGCAGGCCTCTCCCTCATCCACCAGCTTTCCCAAGCTTCACAGCAGCTCCTTAAACCTGTGCATCCCTCTCTAAGCCTCTCATGGCTCCTGCCTCAACATCAGCTGCTACTGGAAAGTGGAGGTCATTCACCAAGCACTCCCTCTTCCCTGTCAGACCCACCCTCGGTTCGCACGGATCCAATGGTCAACTCCATGCAGCGGATTCTTGGGTTTATCCAGCCCTGACCCTGCTGAGCTCCAACCTCTCTGTCAGCCTAGACCCCTCCTCCATTCCACTCACTCAACAGACCCCCTCTGCCGGGTCCTGTCGATTCTTTCTCTCCCCTTGTCTGCCCTCACACAGCCCCCACCCATGGTCTCCCCCACTCCAGCCACCGTTCTAAAGCACAGGTCTGACCACGTCACATCCCCCCCCCCCAATAAACTCCAGCAGCTTCCGATCGCCAGCAGGAACAAGTCCAGTACATTCAAAGCCCCCTCCCACCTTTGCTGGCTGTCCCCCCGCTGGCATGCTCCCTCTCCACCTCTACCCCTGGCTCCCCGTGAGCCTCAACACAAGCCCACCTTCCTATGGGAAGTCTTTCTGGTCTTAGCTCGAGGGCTTTCTTTCTCTGACCACCCCCGTTTATCCTGTGTGCCTCGTGTGGCTCGTCTCCCCCACTAGACCAGGAGCTGCTGGAGGGCAGGGACACCAGGGCTTTGCATGGTGCCTGGCACCCAGGCAGCACCAAATGCACGCTCGTGGATGATGATGGTCACCCGGCTAGCGGCAGGAAAAGTCGTGGCCCCGAGGCCGGCCCTCCTTCCTTGGTCCCACAACACTCCAGTCAATGCACGTAGGCCCTCCTCCCAAAGGACACTTGGACTCTGCCCCTGGAGACGGGCGCCTTACCTGGCTCAGATCCAGGCCTCGCTTCCTGGCTGCTGCCACTCCCCGCACCCTCCCCAGCTCCCCAGGGACAGGGATTGTGCCCGGCCCTTAGCAGACTGCGTCACAGAGGGCCAGCTGCCCATTCTCCCTGTTCTCAGAAGGCCTAGGGGAGCACAAGCCCCCCCGCCCCAGAAAGGCACCAGCTGAGAACAGCCAAGGCTGCCGTCACCTCCTCTACCCCCGGCCACTCTCCCCATTGGCCTACCTTCTTAATGGCCGTCCAATCCTCCAGAATGTCCACATCCTCCAGCATGTAGACAATGTAAGGACCTGGAAGGGGGCTGGGTCAAGGAAGCCATAAGCCAGGCCCGGCCACCTGCACTGGCGTCACCCACCCCCCCCCCACAGGCCCAGCCACCTACCCTGGCGCTGCCCACCCCCCCCCGCCCCGCCACCTACACTGGCTTTGCCTCCCCCCTCAGGCCCAGCCACCTACACTGGTGGAGCCCACCCCCACCCCCACCATCCTCCAGCTACACGGTCCCTTGTATATGGAGCCTGGCTCCTCAGAGCCCCACCCATACTGCCCCCCAAGCCAATCAGGGCCAAATCCCTTGTTCAATCACTCTTGGCCTCTTCTGGGTCTCCATGTGCTCCCCTCCCTACAGGACTCCAGGGTCCTCCCACGGCCCAGAGCTAACTACGCCAGTCCAAGGTCAGGAAGCGCCAGGCTCCCGACTGCCTTGAGGACTGAGTACAACCCCCGCCTCAGCCGGCTGCTTGGCATTTCACGGGCCCTGGCAGCGTGGTGGCCTCCACCATGTCAGCCCACGCCTCCCACCTCCTCTCACACCTCCCACAGAAGTCCCAGCTCCAGGGCCACGTCCCTTTCTGATGCCGACATCCTTGGGGGGCTTTTCTCTGGGGTCTAAAGCTCCGAGCATGGCAAGGGCAGTTTGGCCGGCCTCTGTACCTGCAGTCCCAGGCATACAATGGGTGCCTAATGTGTGCTTGGTGAATCACCTCTCATTTCCAGTGCTCACATGGTACAGCCCCAACAACCACTTGAAGGCAGGTGGACAGTTTTTTGGTCCAGGCCTGTGATTCCTTTAAGGAAGGAATTCCAAGTGTGGAAACCCCCTCCCCTGCTGCTGATACAGCCCAGGAGGACCGCCTTGGGCATGAAGCAGTGACTGACTTGCCCAGGGCTGGACAGCCAGGATGTGTCAGAGACAGGACCTGAACATGGGTCCTCCAGGGGCCCCACACCGCCTCTGCTGAGGCCAGGACCCTATTTTCACAGGGAGGACATGCAGGTAACTCAGGTTTAAGCTGGGTTTCTGTCCTTTGGGCCCGGCCTTCCTGACCTGCACACAACATGGGGCCCCTCAGATTCCTTCCAGGCATGAGCCTGCTCTCCTGGGGCTGCAGCCATCTGGAGGCCTCCCTGCACAGCCCCTCCAGCGGGGCGCAGGCCCCCACCGGCTCCTCTGGCGTGCCTCCTGGGCCCGTTGTGTACTGGCTTGACTCGAGGGGCCTCCAGCGGGGTGGGGGAGCAGCCAGAGCAGCCCACCCCCGGCCCCGGGGCCCCTCCGGTGTAAGGATACCAGAGACGAGCGGTGCCTTCTTTCTCTTGCCCGACTGCAGGGCCTCCCAGGGTCTCGAGCTTCCTTTCGGGTGTAGCTTGTCATCCCACCATTCTGGGCCAGAGAGGCAGGGTCAGCAGGCCCCCCCGGCCCCAGGCCGGCCCCCCTCCCCCGCCCGGCCCCAAGGCCTCACCAGAGTTGATATCAATGCTCTGGCGGTCTTCCTCGAGCCGCTGAATACGCTCTTGGAGCTCCCCCTGGAGGGCATCATACAGCAGCAGCCGCTCACTCTGAAAAAGAGACTCAGGTCAGGCTTGGGGGGCCCTGGCGCCCAGGCCGCCGGACCTGCTCCACCCCCTTCCCACTCACCTCCAGGTGCTGCCGGGCCCCCTGAAGCTCACATTCATATTTGTTCCTGATCACATCCAGACAGAAGCCCTTGTATATGCCTGGTGGGAGACAGAAAGCGGGCCTTGACCAGCGGGCAGCACCTATGGCTTAGGGCTCCTAGGCGGGTGGGACCCAAAGAAAGGCCAGGGCACGAGAGAGAGGATGAAAGGAAGGAACAGCCCCGAGGGGCCCAGGGCCGGGACACTCACCAGCCACCTGAATGCGAATCTTGAGACTCCGCTGCAGCCCCCCAAGGGGCTCGGTGTACTCGGGGGCACGCTCAGCCCCGACCTCCTCGAGCCGGAAACGCACCTGGCTCAGTCGCTCCTTGAACAGCCTGAGAAACGAGAGTTAAAGAGTGCCGTCCACCTCTGCCATCTCATTCAACAGAGGGAGAAACTGAGGCCCAAGGTCACCCAGAAAGTTAGCGGCAGGATCGGGACTCAAACCCACATCTTCCAAGCGCACTTTTGGTGCCAGAGCGGCCCGCCTCGGGGGGTCAGGTCAGCTCCAGGGGCTCCAGGAACGCCAGCCTTTGACAGGGCAGCAGGGAGACAGCTTCCCAAACTCACTTCTCCTTCAGTTCCGAGAACTGCTTCTCCAGGTCAGACATCTCGTCAAGGCACTCAACGCGGCGGCGCTCACAGTCCTCGTCGTCCATTTCTGCGGGGCAGAGAGCCGGTCGGTCCCCCGCGGCAGAAGCGTGGGGTTACCCTGGGCACGACGGGGGGGTGCTGGCTGGCTTACCAGAGCTCTCCCCGTCGGACTCCGTCTGGCTGGCGCTCTGCTCGTCCTCACTGCCCTCCTCCTCCAGCCCGCTCATCTCTGGAGCAGAGTCTCCGTCCCTGTCCCCGTCCCCTTCCATGGCCCCGGCTTCTTTGCCCAGGGGCTGGCTTGGCATCGTCACTCTGAGAAGACAGGGGATCTTTTGGGACCACTGGCAGCCAGGTATAAAGCCCGACAGAACTGCACCCTAAGACCAACTCGATTCTGTAAAACAACAAGGCTGAACGAGGTCACCAGGCCTCTTCCAGCCCCAAGCCTCTGCTCCTCCCAACTCCAAGGCCAAGGATGAGCTAGAACCTCAGACACGGGGGGTCTGGGGGGGTACAACAGCAACGCTGGCACTTTAGAGGGTCAGGGCTTTGTCCAAGGTCACATGGCAGCTAAGTGTCAATAGCCAGAAGGAAACCCATCATGACTGCAGGTGGCATGGCGAAGGGGAAGAGTAAACCCAGGGATGGGAGGCAGGTCACTAGGCCTGGGGGGTGGAAGGGGGCCCTGCCCAGCCTGTACCAGTTCATCCTCTTGGCTGGCAATCAGGCATGGCATCTGAAGGCCTGAGTTCAAAGCCCGGCTCTGCTGTGTAACAAGGACTGCGGGGAGCACCGGGCAGAGGGCTGGACTTGGGGTATGAAAGGACCAGGTTCAAATCCCACCTCAGACACTGAGACAAGTCACTGCCCCTCTTTGCCTCAGTTTCCTTTTCTGCAAAATGAGGGTTGGGCTAAACAGCATCTAAGGTCCCTCCTAAGTTGAAATCTATGTTCTTTTGACCTCGGGCTAATCAAGTCACCTTTGGTGGGCCTCTTTCCCTATTCAGTCTTTATTAGGGATGTTCCAGGAACAAAACTAAGCACCAGGGTTACAAAGAAAAGGCAGAAATAGTTCCTGCCTTCAGGGAGCTTACATTCAAACATACATAAAGTCCCTTCCAGGTAAGCAGGGTGGGGATGTCAGCAGATGAGGGTCCGGTGGGATGGATGCAGACAAAGGGGAGAGGCTCCAGCAGAAGCAGGAAAGGTAAGAGATGTGGGGGTGGGGGAGAGCCAGCCAGGGCAAAGGCAAAGAGAGGAGAGGGAGTTCAGGGGATGAAGGCCAGTGGGGAGGCAGTCTGTGGCTGGACAAAGAAGGTCAAACAGAGAAATCTCCATCAGATCCCCCCCCCACCCGTCTAACAGACTCCAGGTGGGAGGGGCCCAGGGTGGCGGCAGCTCTGCAAGATGGGTGGTCCCACAGCCTGCACAGGGAGGCTCCCGCCAGGGGTGGGTGACACTAAGTCCTGTCCTGGGAGAAGGTAAGCTCAGCCTGGGAACCAGCCAATCTTTACTCTTCCCAGGCTCCTGCCTGAGCCACGCTGCACACAAGAAAAGGCAAAACCAAGCTGGATTCTAAAGCGAGACACCATTTAAAGAGTCCCAGATCCTTAGCAGAAATACACAGAGGCCAAGTGAGTCTGGTCAGCCTTCTCTGAAAGGGAAATCCAAGACCTGCCCCTCCCCCTTGGAGCCCAGATTCCCAGGGGGCTCCGGGGCCCACACGGTCCAAGCAAATTCCAGGCAGATGAGTTACAGGAAGCCGCCTTCCACACAAGACCTTTTTAGAGCCAAAATTAGCTCTTCCGGTGCCCTTAAAGGTTAATAAAAAATAGTAACATTGCCACAGCACCAGAAAAAAAACAAGCACCTACTGGGTGCCGGGGACTGTGCTAAGTACTTTACAAACATCTCACTCAATCTTCACAACAACCCTGGGAAGTTGGTGTTATTATCCTTATTTTACAGCTCAGGAAACTGAAGCAGACAGACAAAAGTTAAGTGACCTTACCCAGGGTCACATCACACACATAACAAGCAAGTGTCAGGCTGGATCTGAACTCAGGTCTTCCTGACTCCAGGCTGGCATTCCACACAAGTCAGGTAAAGTCGGGTGACTTTTGCCAGATTCTAACAACTCAAGAAAGCTGGCTCCTTGTCGCTCCTCCTGAGGAAAGTCCCCTTTAAAACAGGAGCCTGGGAGTGGGAGCATTAATCAAGCAGATCGGAGTTCAGATCTTGCCTCAGACATTTACCAGGTGTGTGACCCTGGGCAAGTCACTTCACCCTGCTTGCCTCAGTTTCCTCACAGAATAAAACCACTCCTGTATCAGCCAAGAAAACCCTAAATGGGGTCCTGGAGAGTTGGGCAGGACCGAACAGCAACAAATAACAGAGTCCCGAGCTGCTGCTTGGCAAAATTCCTGCTCATGTCCCCCAGTGGAGGCCTGGTCCCACCTGTTATTAGTCAGCAGGACCCTGGGCATGTCCTGAATTGTCTGGGGCCTCAGTTTCTCCCAGCTCCCTGGCATCAGCACAACCCCTGTAGCATTCCCTGCTCAGTAAGGAAGCCTGGTGAAGGCCCATGGAACAAGTCTTTTGACAGGTCATGCTGGCCACGTCCAGAACCACGGAACCTGAGAAGTGGGAGGGAGCTGGCGGCCTCTAGGCCAGCCCACTCTGAAGGAATTCCCCCTACAGCTACCGGACAAGTGGCCAGCTAGCTTGTGAAGCCCTCTCCACCGGGCAGCCCATTCACCTTGAGACTCACCTCCAGCCTCAACGGGCTTCTGGACACCGCCCCCATCCCCTCCTCCCCTCACTGCTCCTGCCTCTGCCCTCTGGGGTCAAGAGGAACCAGAACAAGGCTAATCCAGCCCAGCGTCCTCCGGGCCAAACCTTCGCCCAGATCCTTCCGGTCTTACCCCTGGAGACCAACTTATGCTGCAAGACGGAATCTTCCTGGTCCTCACAGCTCCTCAGGCCCCTGTGTCCCAGCTGGGCTACATTGTGGACTTTGGAACTTGTCAAGGCCCCCCAGACCCTCTCCCCTCTTTAGATCGTCAGCTCTCTTCGTATGGATATTATCCTCACTGCTTAGCAAAGTGCCTGGCACACAGTAGGCATCTGACATTTATTAACTGACCAGACTGGTCTTTATAAGATACGAGCCCAAGGCCCTTGACCATCCTGGCTGCCCACCTCCAGACACTCTCTATCCAATTCTTCCTAAGTGGGACTGAACACCAGACTGCCGAGGAGGAGGGGGTGTGCCTAGGATCTAGTATGACTGGAAGAGCGCACAGTGGGGTGGTCACCTCCTTCTCCTAGAGCCTGGGCCTCTTTACAAGACTTTTCTGGCTGCTGACTCCTCTTGAGCCCTTCACTTCACCAAGACCCCCAAATCATTTTCAGAACAACCGCTGCCCAGCCGTGGTTGCCTGACCTCAGAGTGGGGAAGGTGACTCTTTGGACCCAAGCATGTGACTCTTCATTCCCCCCTATACTGACTGTGATCTTTAAGTCAGACTCAGGCCAGCGCGGGATCCTCAGCGCCGTCATCCCCAAATCTGAGGGGCAGACGTGGCATGGACACGTGCACCACCACGATGCACCACGATGCACCACACCGACAAGGTGGTGAAGCCACACTGGGCCGAGCCCCGCGGCCCCAAGGCCACGAGTGGCTCTGATCACCCACTCGGGTCGCTCTGGTCTCTTCTCTCTCCAGCAGCCGTGGGCGGGAGACGCGCTGCTAAAATCTGGGCAGATCCTCCGGCATTGCCCCATCCGCGACCCGGGTCAGCAGGCAAGCCTGCTCAGAAGTTCTCATTGCGGGGGCAGCTCCTCGTGAGCAAGGCCCGGGGCCACCCCCACCCCATCCCCCCACCCCACCCCCCTCTGATCTCAGGGCGCCGGCTCAGACAGCTGCCCTGCCCTGGGCCCCCTCCCCTTTTTGGCCTCCCGGGGTCCACAGACGGCAAGCCTCCGGAGGGCAGGAAGCCTCCAGGCCGTCCGCGGTACCCCCGATAGGGAGCCGACGCTGGACGGCGGTCTCGGGGGCAGCCGGGGAGGACCATTTTACAGAGAAGGACACTGAGGCTCGGAGAGGCCCAGGGGATCCCCCTCCCTCCCCGCCCGGGCGGACGCTGCCGCCGCTCGCGCCGCGGGGAGGGGCGGGGGGCGCGGCCGGGACGAACCTTCCGCCGGGGGTCCGGGGTCGGCGGACGCGACAGACGCAGCAGACGCAGCCGGCCGCCGGCCGTGTCCCGGAAGTGTCGGCCGGGGCCCCGCCCCGGGGGAGGGGCCCCGCCCCTCGAGGACCGAGCGGGAACCTGCTCGTGGTGCGTCATCAAGGAGCGCCGAGCCGCGAGGCAATCTGGGATGCCGCCGGCGCCCCACGTTTCCATGGCAACCGGGAACGCTCCCCTGGCGTTTTAACTCGCAGCGGTGCAGGAGCGTGGGAATTTTCCTCTTCCATCCCGCGCTCGGGGACTGCGGCCCCAGGGCCCGTCCACACCTGAACCCCCGCGCTCCGGGCAAACCGGCTAGAGCAGCTGCCATTCCCACCGCCCTCTAAGGGTATTGTAGACTGGCTTTGTACAGAGGGGGAAACCAAGGTTCCTAGGGGGGAAGGGACACAGTAAAGAAACATTCCCACAGTAACACAAGACACCTCGTAAAGCTGTTCTCTCTTCTGGGCCTCACAATAACCCGGCAAGATAAAATACTCCACACATAATTATTAGTGCCGTTTAACAGATGAGGAAACTGAGGCTCCAAAGTGATTTGCTCAGACCTGGGGTCTGTCATGACTTCGAACCTTCATGCGGATGGTAGAAGGGAACAACACCGAGACACGATGGTCCACGTGAACACTGGTTTATTGGCATATTATGATTCAAGTCAAAGTTCCTGGCTCTGTACCTATTTGGGATGGGGGTTTCCTCTCACCAAAGGGGCTCTTTCCCCATCCATCCTGATTCCCAGGGCTGGGCCAGTCCCAGATGCCAAACCTTTGAGCTGGAACAGGTCACCTAGTCCAGTTCTCTCCTTTTACAGACATGTAAACTGAGACTCAGAGAGAGGAAGGGATTTATGCTCAAGGGTCACACAGCAAGTCCGAGGCAGTGTTGGGGCTGGCGTCCAGGACTCCTAAGCATCAGATTCGGAGGTGAAAGGGACCTTGGTCATCTGGTCCAACTCTCTCATTTTACTGATGGGGAAACTGAGGCCCAGAGAGGGGAGGAGAGTGGCCCAAGATAAGCGGTGGAGACAAAGGGCAGGGACCTAGGGATATGCAGAATGAGAAGAATGAAGGACTTTTGGTGACTGTCTCTGAACCATGATTCAGGCTTCCCGAACAGAAGCTTATTTCTTCCCCCAAAGTCCCCACTCCCTTTCCAAATCCCTTCCTGTCCCCCACCCCCACGGAAGCTTACCTCGTGGCTTGGTCACATCAGTGCTCATCACCCACCTAAAAAAGGCCCACCCCAGGGTGAAGGGCTGGGTTAGCCCGGCTTGCCTCCCACAGGCTTGAGGGGAAACCTGCCCAGCCCTGCCTTTGGAGGCTGCTCCCTAGGCGGGTCAGCGGCTCAGCATCTCCTCGGAGAGTCTGGGTACTTCATCTTTAACTCCTGTTTGAACTGGCGGAAGAGGATTTTGTTCTGTTGATTCTCCGCCTCCTTCTGGGGGTGGAAATCCCCTGGCATCTTGAAGCCCTTGTGGACCAGGAAAGCATCATTCAGCACCTCAAACTCGTACCCTGCCACGTGGAGCTCACAGGCCTGCGAGGGAAGGGAGAGGGGAAAGGGTTCAACTGGCACTGGCCCCGCCCCCCCCCCCCCCAGCTCTTACCGGACACCTTTCTTCAGGCCCCTTCCCCCTCACCCCCGGGAGAGAGGCCCTGGCACCTGGCTGATGCGGTTGAAGCCGTACTGCCGAAACCTCTCATCGTAGGAGGGCACCGCGCCTCCTGCCACGTAGAAGGGCTCCCAGGGGTCCTGCCAGGTCACCCGGTAGGCAGGGCGCAGGGGTCCCCCGGGGGGCAGGGTGAGCCATCGAGAGTAGTTGGTGGGGGCCTGGCATCGGGGGCACAGCTGGGCATAGAATGGGCGCACATGTCCCATCTTAAGGAAACGCATCAGCTCGATCTTGGTGCGGGGGACCCGGACTCCCTGGCGGATCTCGAAGGCCGGCACCACCAGCGCCCGGCCGGCCCTGCCCTCGCCCAGGGCCAGCAGCTCCAGCAGGCCGGTCCAAAGCCCATCGCTGGGCACCATGTCCACGTCCACGACGAGGGCATGGCCGGCGCCCTCTCGGGCCACGTTTCGAAGCAGGTTGTTGGGGTAGGAGACGTTGGTGGCCAGCGCGTAGTTGCGGCCGGAGCGGCTTCGGGCGCCCATGCTCGTGAACACGTCGCTGCAGCTGCTGATGCGAGCGAACTCGCCCGGCTCTCGGGGGTCGGGCACGGCGGCCTCGGTGCGCGCCGGGCACACCAGGTGCATGGTGAGGCGGTCGCGCACGGCCTGCGTGCAGAGCGCGCCCAGCGCGTAGGTCAGCACCGTGGCCAGCTGCGCCTCGTCCGGCCGCGCCGCGAACACGGCCACGGCCAGGGGCCCGGCCCAGCGCTCCAGCAGCGTGCCCACGTGGCCCAGGTTGCTGAGGCTGGCGTGCGTGGCGAGCAGCAGGGCGTCGCGCGGCCGGCGCGAGGGGTCCCCCAGCACGTGCCGGTACACGCGGTAGTCGCCGCTGGCGTCCAGGGCGCCGCCGGCGGCCAGCACGGCCCGCAGCTGCTCCTTGGCGCTCTCGGCGGCGCGGCGCTGCAGGCTGGCGCCCAGGGCCGCCCCGCCGGGGAAGAGCTGCCCGTAGCGGCGCCGCTGCTCGCGGCCGTGCAGCCCGGCCAGCAGCGACAGGTAGACGAACTGCAGCAGCGCCACGGCCAGCAGCGCCGCCAGCGCCAGCTTGTAGGCCGAGCAGCGGGCCGCCGCGTGCCCGCCGCCCGCCGCCGCCGCCGCCACTGCCAGCGGGTTGGGCATCGCGCGCCGCCCGGGCCGGCCGGGGCCCCGGGGAGGGCCGGAGGCGAGGCGGCGAGGAGGGAGGCCGAGCCGGGCGGAGCGGAGCGCGGCGCGGACGCTGCTGCTGCCGCCGTCCCTGCTACTGCGGCGGCGGCGGGCCGGGCACTGCGGAGCGGCCGGGGAGCGCGCGCTCGCCCTCTGCCCAGCAGGAGGACGCACTGCAGCCACGCGCCGCGCCGCCGCGCGCCCCCCGCGGCGAGCCCGGCTGCGGCTGCGTCTGCTGCTGCGGCGGCTCTGGCGCACAGATACCTAGACGTACACGTACAGTGAGCGTGTAGATGCCCCGATTCTAATAGGAACGAGAGGGAGGGGGCTCTCTGCCTTGTTTGCAAATGCAACATTTCTGGAGGGGGACGACGCACAGAGTGATGGGCTTGCAAAAGTGCCCCGTGCCTTCCTCCCTTCAAAAAAGAAAGCGAGGGAGGAAGCAATCGTGGTCGCAGCGAGTACTGAGGAGGGAAAAGCTGCCATGCTTGCAGCTCCCAGTCAGTACCTCAGGCAGCGTGCTCTCCCTGTCACAAAGTCCCCCGGCTGCCCTGGGAATGCAAGGAAGGGGACAAGACATCTGCAAACCCACTTTTCGGGGGGAATGTCCACTCCACTAAGGAGGGAGGGAGTACACAGTGTGCGCGATGCAAACAAATGTGCACGCGGAAGGACACCCTCTGACACCTGCGCCCCGTTTGCCGGTTCCCCCCTCTTTTGCACCCCCGCGGCAATCCTTCCGTGGGGGGAGGGACGTGCCCGCAGCGGCCTGCGGCGGGCAGGACGTTTCCTGGGGGCCCGCTCGGTGGCTCGGGAGCCCGGGCGGGGCAGGCTGGAGGCCCCACTTTGAAAAGAAAACGCGAGCTTGGGCGCGCGGGGCGAGGTGGCAGGTCCGTCCCCGGAGCCCCTGCTCCGTCGCCCCTCCTCGCGTCTGGCCCGGCCAGGGGGAGGAGGAGGCAGCGCGCGCCGCCGCCGGGCGCAGGGACAAGGGGCTGCGCGGTGGAACGAGCGCGCGGCGGGACGAGGTGGCCGAGTGGTTAAGGCGATGGACTGCTAATCCATTGTGCTCTGCACGCGTGGGTTCGAATCCCATCCTCGTCGTTTATCTTTTACGCCCGCCCCGCACTCATTTTCCTCCTCGGGTCCCCCGGAAACCCCTCGCTTGGCAGGGGCTCTGGGGGAAGGAGTGAGGGGCGCCGCAGCGCCTCCCCGCCTTTTGGTTCCTGTTTGACCCGAGCCCAGAGAAAGGAGGACCCAGGAAGGGTGCAAATGAGTGGCTGGTGGCTGCTGGTCCCCGTCCACCTCGTGGCCCTCCTGTCCTTGCCTCCGTGGCCACCCCCAGCCCCCAAGGTCTGCAGGAGGGGCTTGGGCTGGGGGCTGGGGGTCGGCTTTTAATTCTGCCAATACCGATGGGCGCTGAGTGGGCAGAGCCCTGCCATGGCCAGGGGGAGGCAAGGTTGGATTAAGTCGGGCCTCCTGCCCTCGTGGAGCTTCCAGTCGAGTGGGGGTACAAAACACACACACACACTCACACATACACTCACAGTCATACATATTCACATTCACACACACAATACATTCACACACTCACACTCACCCATTCACACACACACATTCACACACACACTCACATATTCACATTCACACACACAATACATTCACACACACACTCATATATACATTCACATACGCTCACACATTCACACACACACTCATATATACATTCACACACTCACACATTCACACACACACAGAGGCACATAAATTTAGAGCTAGAAGGGAACTTAGAGGTCGTCCCCCTTTGCAGATAAGAAAACTGAAGCTCACAAACTCACCCACTGCTTTCCAGACGCAGCACAACTTTCTTCCCCAAAACTCTTCCCCAACTCTTAGCCTCCCCCAAACTCCCTGTATATGTAATCTGCATAGACATACATGTACACACGTGTTCTCTCTCCCTTAGTAAGAATGTAACACTTTTTGGGAGCAGGGAGGGCTCCATTTTTTGGTTTCTGCAGCCCGGGTGCCTGGCACACAGTAGGTGCTTAATTAATGCTTGTCCACTCATGGAGCCTCAAGGCGGCTTTGTGCCCAGTGCCTGAAGCTGGGGCCCCAGGTCCTGGGTTCGACCCCCAAGGAAGATCTGACCCCCAGTGCTCATCTTTGGGGTGGGAGTCTGTCTCCCCTGAAGCCAATGACAAACCTTTGGTAGGTGCACATTCATGGCCGAGGAACTGAGCAAAAGAAGGGGAGCTCATGAATTCCTTGGACCTCAAGGCCAGCCAGAGACAATGTCAAGTCCCTGCCAGCAGAGCTGAATACAAGAGGCCCCCCCCCCCAGAATAGGGGCAGCCAGCATTTATTAGCATCTTCACTTGGGCAAAGTTCTTCACAGATGTTTTCATGTTTGATTCTGACAACCCTGTGAAGTAGGTGCTATTATTATCCCCATTTTGCAGATGAAGAAACTGAGGCAAACGAGTTCGGTGACTCGCCCAGGATCACCCAGCTAGTTAGTGTCTGAGGTCACATTTGAATTCAGGAAGAGTCTTGCTGACTCCGGCCCAGCGCTCTGTGTGCTGTGGCGCCCCCTAGCGGCCCCAAAGTCCTATTGCCGCCTTTTTATTTGCTGTCATTTACGGCTCCCCTCTCTGCCCCAGCCAAAGGTCACAAAGAAAGACCCATGAACAGTGTCTTATTGATCCTGGAGTCCCAGGGTGGGCCCACATGTGGTCCTCTAGGTCCTCAAGTGCGGCCCTCTGACTGAATCCAAACTCTCTAGAACAAATCCCCTTCATAAAAGCGGTTTTTTCTGTAAAACTTGGACTCAGTTAGAAGGCCTCGCCCAAGGACCTAGAAGGCCACGTGTGGCCCCGAGGCTGCAGGTTCCCTACCCGTGAGCCCCACAGCTAGTAGGGGCCCACAGAGGCCATCTGCTCTAACTCTCACATTTTATAAATGAGGAACCTTGGGTTCAGAATTTAAGTGACTTGCCCAAGGTCACACAGCCAGTATGGGAAGCAGCCATACCCTCTGAAGCAGAGACAGGATGCAGCATGGACCCGTCAGCCCCTCCCCCCACCATCATTGTGACCGTGTTTCCTTTCAGACCCTGACGAGGACAGCCCAGGACTGCACCCAAGAGCCGGGGGAACAGTGATGCTTCGAGCCCAGTGTCAAATGTTCAACCTCAGAAACAATGGAAATGAGATGAAAGAAGAGCCCTGACCGTCTGCCCTGCTGCTGCCCCATGAGGACCATGGGACCTTTCCATCCATCTGTCCACATGTGTTGTCTCTCCGGCTGGAATGGAAGCTCCTTGAGGGCAGGCAGTCTGCCTTCTTAGTCGGGCTTAGCAGGGTGCTTGGCACCTACAAGTGCTTAATCAATGCTGTCATTCATTCAAGTGTCTGCCGTGGGATTCAAAGCCTGCAGTCCAGCCTTCTGTCCACTGCACCAGCACCACCTTGGGGCTTCATTTTGTGCTTTTCCTTGCCCTATTTGAATTTCCCAGGACCAGCCTCCAGGTCAGAAGGGCTGGCGTCTGCCTTGGCCTGGTGAGGCCCCGCTTAACCCCGCTTAACCCCGCTTAACCCCGCTTAAGCCCGAGATCCTCCCTGCGGTGAGACGAGACAGCGAGATCCAAGCCAACCTCCCCCACAAGGCCCCTGGCTTACAACAGACCCAGCAGACTTCCTTAAGCCTGGTAAGGGTGGGCCACCATTTCCTTCCTCTCTGTCTGCTTTCTTTGCCCAGAGGGGACTCCTCGAGGGAAGTCTAGCTGAGAATCAATTTAGCCCATGTTGAAGGCATTGGGTGTTGGATACCGGGCCTTGACTGGGCAGAACCAGGCTCAAGCCCAGGGCCAGAGGCTGCGCCAAGGAGTGGGGCAGCCATGTCCAAGAAGAGGTACGAGTAGCCAGACGTGATGTAAAACGTAAACCATTTATTCCCCACACCAAACATCATTTCTCTCCGGAAGTGCTGGGGTAGCTGACCTGGGGCTCCCTGGGGGAAAAGGAGGGAGGAAGCCCAGCCTGGGGTATGGACTTTCCAATCACAATTCCAAGCTGCCTTTTCTCGTTTGTGGGTAAACTGAGGACCAGAGAGGGACATCACTTGTTCGAGGCTAAAAGCTAAAATTCCCCCTCCCTTGGTGTGTTCCATTCCCCTGGCCTCCCAGAGAGCCTCCCTCAGCCTCCAAGCTTCCACCCCAACTGTGGCCTTCCCTTCCAGATGACTGAGCCCACCATTCCCAGACTGACCCCCGGACCCTTGTGTCCACACTGTTAGAACTACTTTTCTGATGGAGCCAGGGCCCTCCACCTCTCCTTCCTTCTCTGCTTTGTCCTTCATGTCTGTTACTGTTCTGGTTTCCTGGAGGGCAGATCCTATGCTTGCAGTCCCCGGTGTGGAGCACCAAGCACAGGTGCCTCCTAACCACTGCCGTGTTGGAGATGCTGGTGAGGGGATCCCACTTTCCTTCTAGATTGTGAGTTCCCTGAGGGCAGGAGCTGGGTGGGCCCCCGGCAGCGAGCACATGGGAAAGAGCCCAGCTCCTGCTGTGCCAGGGCTTCCTAGTCTACTCTTCCCTATGCGTGGATCTGGTCATCCCTTCTTAGCTGGCCTTCCTCACCTTTCTATTCTATTAGGTGCCAACGCCCCTGTCCAGGGTCCTGCCTGATCCCCAGCTGCCCAGCCTAGCCAACACTTTAGCCATCTCTGATGCGCTGGCACTTGCTTCATCTTGCATATATCCTGTGTTATCTGTGAACATGCTGTTTACCCCAACAGACAGGGAGAGACGGTCTCATTTTTCTCTTTGTGTTCTCAGCCCCTCACGCAGTGCCTAGCACATGGTAGGCACTTAAGTGCATAATAGTTATCTGTGCTTGTCTTAATTCCCCCAACGGGACTGTAAAACCCCAAGTGCAGGGACTTGTTTTCTTTAAACTTTGTGTCTCCTTTATGCATACACTAGGTGTTTGATAAATGTTTGCTAACTGAATGGGATGCTGCTCTCTGAGGAACTGGACTCCCCATTTTCCTCCCATACCCATTCTGAACTACAGTTTCTTCATCTGCCAGATGGGGACAATGCCTGCCTCACCCAGTAGTAGAGAGACTGTTCTGAGACGTTGGCAGAAGTGCCTTGGAAGTAGAAGGTACAAGCTCTCTGTGTAAGTGTAAGAGGGCTTGCGTCGGGCTCCTGCTCAGGGGCTGACTTCTCAGGCTGCAGCCTGTCAGAGGTCAGGCGCTTCCTGCAGAAACCGGGAACAGGTTCTGGCAGGCGTGACAGCACCAGCTAGAAGGCCTGACTGACTTCCAGGAGCTTCCCCAGGTCCCGGGGCCGGGGAGGCAGCGACCAGAGCGAAGCAACCCTGGTGGGCGACGGGGCTTCTGGACAATCATGGCTGCTTTTTCCCTGAGTAGCTGGCAAAGCTCCATCCCTACCAGTGTCTGGCACTCGGTTCCCAATCTGTGCTTATCTTTCCCTGCAGAATAGAAGCTCCTTGAGGACAGGCTCTGGGCCCAGCACAGGGCCTGGCACACAGGAGGCCCTTAAGTCTTGCTCACTGAGTTACCCCTTCCCTTCCCTGCTTTTCCCCACCCCAGGAGTGATGGAGCAATGAGGACTTCCTGGAGCAGGCCCTGGAACCCCAAAGTGGGGCCTCAGATCCCACCCTGAGCTCAGGGTTGGAGGCGGTGGCTGCACCAGTCCCTAACAGCTCACAGCAGCAGCAAGTGGGGCTCACCCTGGGCATAGACCTCACTATAATACTTGTTTGAGAGAGGAAGGTATTCAGGGCAAAACGTGGTATTACTTCCTCCCCTCTCTACCTACAGGCTCACTTTACCAAAGGAAGGATCCCCAGTGAAATTCCCAACTTCCCCCAGGGCGTAGCCTAGGAGCTCCCTACAATGGAATGTCTAACAATGGCCAAGGTAAGGGGCTCCCCAACAGAACCCTCCAGCATCCCCAGGTCACCTGGTCCATCCTCCTGCCTCCAGAGCAGGTCAGCACCTAAACCACCAGGAAGATAGCCCCTTTTGAGAGCTATTGGAGGGTTGCCCAGGACCAGGAAAAGCTGGGGGCCTTTCATCCCCCTTAACAGCCTATTAAAAGTCTGCCAAGTGACAGCCCTTCCTTGGCAGGCAGGAGAGGGAGGCTGCTGGCTGGTAACAGCGCCCTCCCAAGAATCCGTCAGGTGTGGAGGGCAGGTGTTGAGATCCCCCAGAGTCTGCCTGTCCTCACAGCCTGGTTGTTCCTCAGTCACCCATCTAGGACCTGTTGCACATTCTCAGCCCTCTCCTCTCCCAAGTCCCAAACCTCACAGCCCCTGGAAGGCTCCCAGCCCCATCCACACAGGGCAAGGAAGGAAATGGGGCTGTCTCACAGCAGAGATTTGAAGAGGAAGGAGAGAGAGGCCCCGAAGGAGAGCCCTAGGGCCAGGAAGAAAGTCATCAGAGCTCCAGCCACTTCACTCTCATGGGGCAGGACCTGCCTGCAAAGGAGGGGGAGATCAGCTGTTAGAAGAGGGGCCCAGCTCCCTGCACTCCCCACCCACGGGCGTTCCTTGGCTCCGGGGCCCCAGGCTCCCAGTATCTCCCCAGACCAAGCACTAGCCTTCCCTCCAGTGGAGGTGGACAGCACGGAGCCCCAGGCTCTCTTCTATGCCTGATGCTCTGGGTCCTGTCTAGCTCTGGCATTCTGGGGCATATGATGCCTTCAGGCCTCTGAGGAAATGCTCCTAGCTGTTCACTCAGGGTCACTCATTCCTCTGTTTGCCAAGTGGAGTTGGACAATCTCTTGTGTCTCCTCTGTCCTGGGGTCAGGTCCATTTCTTAGCCCTCTCCCTGAAAGCTAGGCCCTGGACATGAGCCAGGCTGCTTGCCTTTCAACCAGCAGGCCCCTAAGGCAACCTTCCCAAAGGCAGGCCTCCCCACAAGTGAGGCTAGCAGGATTTGGCTAAGTGCACCTTGACCTCAGGGAGGCTGGTGCTGCCCCCTCCTCAAAGGTGTGCTCACCAGCAAGAACTTCCTCATGCTACATATGGAAAGGCCCTCAGGAATCACCTAGTCTAAGCCGCCCCATTTTACAGATGAGGAAACAGTGGCCCAGGGGGGTTAAGGACCTTTCCCAAAGTCATCTAGCTAGTTCATGACAGGGCTGGGACCCAAACTCAGCCCTGACAGCCTTCCAAGTCCAGCAGCCTTTCCACTGGACCATCTTGCCTCTCCACTGGAGGAGTGCCCAGTGAGGACCTTTTCCCTACTCTGCCATCTCCCCGTATCCCCACGCTCACCTGGGCGCCAGGCACATGGTGAGAGACACCAGGTAGCCATTGGAGAGTGCAAAAAGCAGCATGAAAGTGATGAAGCAGGCGTCCTGCGGGAAGAGGACCGGCAGGTGGGACCGCTCGGGCACGTGGCACAGCATGAAGAGGGGAACAAACAGGAAACGCAGGCAGGCCAGCAGCGGCAACAGGCGGCCATCCTGGTCCGGCTGGGGGCCAAGAGTAGCAGAGCGCGCCCTTCGTCACCGCCATCGTCCCAGCCCAGACACCTCCCGCCAGGCCTTCTCTGGGGCACAAGCACTGGAATCCCAGAGGAAAGGCACAGAGATGTTGGGCTCTCTGGGATGATCAAGGCCAAGCCCCTCACTTTGCAGGTGGGGAGACAGAGAGTGGAAGGTCCCACTTGATTCCCAGACAACTTTGGAGGGGGGATTGTCAGCCCAAGGTCTTTTGCCCTCTCCCCCCCCATGGGCCTGGGATGCTCACCCACAGGAAGTAGGAGGTCATACTTCTTCCCAACCAGTCCATGGTATTGAAGAGCAGAAAACAGCAGATGGGGTTAAAGAACTGGCCTGAGGAGGGGAGAGGAAGGCCCAGAGGCTCAGAGGAAAGGAAGGGCCTCACCCAGCCTCTCAAGTCTCACAGTTCAGGGAATCCCAGATCCAAGGATAGAAGGGAACTTCCATTTGACAGATGAGCAAACTGAGGCCCAGGCAGGGGAATGACTTGGACAGGGTCACCCAGCTGGTGTCTGGGACTGGAACCCAGACCTTCCAGACTCTGGGCCAACCCTCTGCCCACTAGGCAGCTCTGCCTCGCCGCTTCTGTGGACCCAACCTTGTTTCCAGACCCTTGCCCCAGGTTTTGAGACTGGCTCTCCCTGCCTGCCCTGGTCCCCAGCTGTGTGCCCTCTTCACCCACTGGAGGTCTCCTCCCTGGCCTCAGCTGTCGCCCTGACACTCACTCCACTTTCCAGGGCCCCTGGAGCTGGTCACCATGGCAGTAATGGCCGGGAAGACAGACAGGGTGACGGTGAACACCAGCACGATACACAGAGCCATCACCCAGATCTGCAAAGCAGGAGAGTCTGGGTCTGGAGGGCGGGGAGGGGAGGCGGCAGAGCCCCCGCCCCCACCCCCACCCACAGCCACCCACTCGGGGAGGAAGGCCAGGTAGGGACAGGCCAGAGCCACCTGGGAGCCTTAGGTCAAGCCAGACCCGGCTAAGGAAAGGGGAGGGGGAGCAGAAGTCCCAGAGGCTCCTCCTCTCAGGTGGGGGTGTGGAGCAAACCTTTCTGAGGACAAGGAGGACTGAAGCCTTCCCAGGCTTGGGCTCCTTCTCTGGCTCCAGCTCCAGCTCCAGGGCCAGCCGAGCCTTCTGGGGACTCCCAGCAAAACCATTCTTCTCATCTGGGGAAGAGGAGGGGAGTCGGGCCAAAGCATCAGTCAGCACACGCCCTTCCAGCCGTGGGTCTGGCCAGACTCTGCGGCACAGGCAAAGAAGGCCAGCTCTTAGGAGCATAGCCGGAAAGGTGTCTTCCAGGCCGCCAGTCCCACATCACCAGCTGGCCGACGGACATTACAAAGAGGATGTCCCAGAGACCTCTCGGACTCATTCCAAACTGAACTCGCCGCTTCCCTCCCCAGTCCCCTTTCCCCAAACTTTCCCGCTTGTGCTGAAGGCACCAGCGTCCTGTCAGCGTGGGTACTTTCGTACCTCTCTTGTATCTTGTCTCCCTTTCCCTCCTGCAGTTCAGGCCCGTGGCCTCCAGCACAGGCTACCACAATGGTCCCAACAATGGGCCCCTCACCGTTCCTCCTGCCTCATCCAGCTTGTGTTCTTTGCTTGGGGATATAGTTCAACTCAGAAGATCTGGGTTCAAGTGCCTCTACCTTGATGTTTGACCTTGGGCAAGTCACTTAAACTCTCTAGGCCCTAATTTCCTCATCTTTTAAATTAGAGGGTTAGACTCTATGGTATGGGAGGTCCCTGAGCCCAAAGTTTCTATCCCATGGATCAGTGGAGGATGAATAACAATAGTATCCTGCCCTGATATAAAGCTTTGCAAAGTCTTTTTACATATGTAGCCTTTGAGCCTCTTAACAGCTCGGTGAGGCAGATGCTATTATATTCTCCATTTTACAGATGAGGAGACTGAGTCTGAGAGAGGTTAAATGACTGGTCCAGGGTCACTTACTTACAGCTAGTAAGTAAGCCTCAGGGCAGAATTCCAACATAGCAGCAACAGTTGGGGCATTCCAAGCCACTTTGGGGGAGGTGCTTTGGAAGTGCCTAGGGACATCTAAACCGGAACATCACACAGTATTGTTTGCCTCTTGGAGACGTAAGAGGGGAACCTTCCCCTCCCCTCAAAATATAGCTGAGAAAAGAGGATTTATGCATGAAAGGATAACCCAGGACAGCAGACAGGGGGTGATGAGGGCCAAATGAGTACGAGTAATAATAAATTACAAGAATTAGACTATATTATTCATGTATTAATTTCATATAATTAATGTTATATAGTTATTAATATTGCATCGTTTATATTACTGTAACAATAATATTATTATATTCATAATGATAGGCCTCTTAAGCACCCCCTGAGGGAGGCAGGGATGAGATTCTTATTAACTCCATTTCACAGAGGCGGCCACTGAGGCTCGGAGGGATGAAGGCTCACACAGCCAGTAATTGCATCTCCGGGGCTCCTGAGTCCAGGGTCAGAGCTCTTTCCTCTAAGCATCCCAGGCATTCCCAGGTAGCTGAGAGGTACACAGCGGGCTGGGAAGGCAACCTTCCGGGCTGAGAGGGCCCTCCTGTCCCCCACTCCCACCTCCCCGGGCCATCCTCAACCGTGCCTGGCTCACCAGCTTGGAGCAGCTCGGCCCTGGTCTCCAACTCATAGGCCTGCGGGGGGGGTGCCTTCTTGTCCAGGTAGTAGCGGGCAAACTCCTGTAGCAACACAGAGCCGACCAGGCCTTTGTGAAGGGCATGAGGCACTGAGACTCCACTCCACGCTGGGAGTAACCTAGGGACCCATGCCCCAGGAGACAGCTCCAAAAACCAGTCTTCTCATTGGGTCGAGCTAGGCCCTAGAGCTGGGAGCCAGCTTCGAGCCATGAGAGGCCAAGGAAGAAACTGAGGCTCAGAGTGGAGAAATGTCTAGAGAGGGCATGACCTAAAACAACAGGATCATAGAGCTGGGCCAGGAGAGGACCCAGAGGTCGTGGATTCCAGCCCTCTCCATTTAAGAGGGGAAACTAAGGCCAGGAAGTGAAGGGACTTGGCCATCCAAGGTCACACAATAAGTAAGTTCCAGAAGGGAGATTTGAACCCAGGTCCCTAACTCTAAAACCAGGATTCTTTCTGCTGTACCCCAGTCTCCCATTAAGTGTGAAAGACCAAAGGAAAAGGGAATGAGTAGGTACGGGAGGGTCGCTCTGGCTGGTCCAGAAACCAGAAATGCAGGGCCTGCTTCCCGCTTTACTTTGTGTAACTAAACAGGGGCTCACCCTACTTCAAGAGAAGGCATGCTGCTGGGGGGAGGGGATCCCCACTTCCTGACTGCACCTGCTCTGGACCCCCCAAGCCAGAGCCCCTGCAGCCCCTCCTCAGAGCAAGAGAGGCCAGGCTTGATTTCCCTGCCCTGCCCTCGGCCCCCCAGGTCAGGATGTAACTAAGCTGCAGTTGGCCCAAGGGTGCGGCTTCCCAGGCTTCCAGGAGAGGGCCTGGACTGGTATGGTGGCTCACCAAGTGTGACAGGGACAGATAACAGGCAATGGAGACAAGGATTCCCACGCACGGGGTGATAAAGTACCCGAGGGCAGAGGTCTGGGCATCCACTCCACCTACAATGGGAATGAGAACTGAGAGCCCAGCCCAGGCAGCCTGGCTCCCAGCCCCTGGCTCTCTGAGGAACTCTGCTCCCATCCTAGAGACTTGCAGAGCTCTGGCCCCAGCCCCTGGCTCCCAAGACTCCCAGCTCCCAGCCAACCCAACTCTCACCCTGTTGCATTTTCTCCACCCACTACTCCGAACCCAGGAGTTCTAGCCCTGTCTCCAACTCTCCCTCCCCAAAATCCAGCCTCTTCCCCAACCAGAGCCCAGCTTTGTGCCCACACTCACTGGCCATGGACATCAGCATGGCAAGAGCAGCAAAGGTCCCTGCTAAGCCTTGGCCACTGAGGAAAAGAGTGCTGTAGGTAGGGGGCATGGCCCCCAGCTGCCCAAAGAGGCTGCCCTGGAGGATGGCGCAGAAAGCTGAGGGGAAAGCCAAACCGTGGTCCCCACTGGGCATTGCCCCTGAGGGAGCAGAGCAGTGAGTGCCCTGGCAAGGGGAGAGGCTGGCATGGCCAAGAGCCTGGGGGTGAGCTCCTGTTCTCCTGGGAGGGGTCCTGTGGCCAGGGTTCAAAGTCCTTTGTAAACTGGGTAATTCTCTCTGCACAGGACAGAAGTAGCTGCCCAGATTCTCTTTTCAAGGTGACCCAGGAGTGTCTGCCCAGGTCTTAGAACCTTCAGGAATTCACTTTTCCTCCTCTAGGAAATGGGGATGAAAAATCAGTGTCTCCCTCTTTAAATGAAAGATCCCAGCACAGCTCTGAAATTCAAGGTTCTAAGGACCATCCCAGATCTGGCACTCTATGTTCTATGTTCCCCCCCACCTCTGACATTCTAAGATCCCTCCCAGTCCTGACATTCTAGGTTTGGTTCTATGTTCTAAGGTTCCTTCCAGTGCTGCCATTCTAGGTTTGATTTCAGGTTCTAAAGTCCATCTTGGCTCTGAAATTCTAGGTTCTTTGTTCTAAGGACTATCCAAGCTCTGGCATTCCCTGTTCTATGTTCAAAGTTATCTCCCAAAGCCTGGTATTCTATGCTCTATGTCCCCTCCCAACCCTGACATTCTAGGTTTGGTTCTAGGTCCTAAGGATGCTCCCAGCTCTGATGTTCCATATTCTAATGACCCTCCAAGTTCTGACATTATCTTCGTTCTGTGCTCTCTAGCTCTGATGTTTCATGATTGCAGGACTATCTTAATCTGTCCCACCTCCAGACCTGGGCTGGGGAATCCCCGAGGGGAGGCAGGGCTTCAGTGGTGAGGGCCCAAACAGCACACGTCACTCACAATTGATGAACCAGATGGAGGCCATGGTGATAGAGAAGAAGAGCTCAGGGCTCATGTCCACTTTGACCAGGGCGGCAGTCAGGATGAAGAGCATCAGAATGCCCAGGAGGCTGCCCAGGATGCGCACCATCTCTGGGATGCTGTGCGTGACCAGAAACAGCTGTGGCCCCTACTCTCGTCTGGGTGCCACTAAGAAAGAGCCAGCTTTGGAGAGGATAAGGAAGTGGCCGAGAAGCAGTGTTCGTGACTGGGTGGAGCTGACGGAGGAGACCTTATGTAGCTGTCTTTAAGGATCGTGGCTGAGGGGGCAATGGCTAAAGGGACATAGCTGGGGCAAAGTCAAGGAGTAAGTGTACATGGGGTGGGGAAGTGGACCTCACCACTGGTAAAGGAAAGAGTTGAGGAGAGTGAAGAGTAGTAGAGGAAGCTGGGACAGGAGGGTCATCCAGTTGTTGAAGTTAAATGCATCCCCAGGGCTTGTAACATTGGTATCGGAGGGCTCCCCTGTGACATTGACCACGGCCAGCCGAGCCTGAAAGTACTGAGAGGGGATAGAGAAGGAAGCCAGGGTCACCTCCTGTATAAAGTCTCGGGAATGACCAGATGCTGACCCTAGCCAATCTGCAGCCAGAAGCCAGACCTCAGTCACAACATGACCAGAGCCTAAAAGAATCCCAGAAGGGCTTAAAGAACCAGAAAAGCCCAGGCCCACGGTGTGGTGTAGAGGGAAAGCATCCAGTCCTTCGGAGCTGGTAGACTGAGGATTAGGAGCTTTCTATCAGTGTGATCCTGGACGAGTCTCTATCCTCCATGGGCCTTAGTTTTCCTTGCTGTAAAATGGGACGGTTTGCATGGATGGTCTCTGAGGTCCCTTGCCAGCCCTAAATCTACGATGTCATGAATATGAATACAGAAGCATAACCCACATCCCACCTCCTCGAGGTCTCTGAGATCCGCCCCCCCCCACCCGTCCTGGCCTCCTCTCTTGGCCTTGTCCGTCTGTCTGTCCGTTAGGCGGTTACTCTTACCGGAATGGCAGTGATAAAGAAGTTCCAGGGCAGCAAGGTCCCCAAACCAAGAATAAAGAAGCTGGTCCCGACCAGGTGGTAGCTGTGGAGACCGGGGTGGATGGGGGAGGGGGGAGTCAGAAACCCGCAGCGTCCCCCACCCCCCTCGGTGAGAGTGTGAACTACAACTGCCAGCATTCCCTCGACGCTGGCCTGGGCAGCCCAGGGCGCGGGGCTGATGGGGGTTGTAGTCCGCTCCCTACCTCCCCGCCCCGGGTTGGGTGCTTTCGGTCTTTCCCCGGGGTGTCCGCCCCCTGCGCCCCGTGCCTGGGCTCACCCGTCCTCTGGGGCGTCGCCTCGGGCCATGGCTGGATTCGGGTCCAAGGGGCCAAGTCGGAGGGAGGCGTGGATGCTGGAGCCGGGATGGAGCAGATCTGGGCGGGAGGCGCACCTGGAAAGGAGCCCACGTCGCAGCAGAGGCGGGGTCTGGAGCCAGACACCGCGGGGGATGAGGGAGCCAGGCCAGGCTCCCCCCCCCCCCCCCCCCCCCCCCCCCCCCCCCCCGGGCTGCTCAGCCCAGGCTGCGCTCCGCCCCTCCTGGGTGGAGGGAGCTAGCGCAGGGGTGGTGGGGGTGGGGAGCAGCTCGTACCCCTCTCTGGCAGGGTGCCTGCAGCCCACCCTCCACGCCCGCCCCGCTGATCCCGCCGCCCCAGCCTCCAGGAACCTCCAGGAACCTCCAGGAACCTCCAGGAACCTCCAGGAACCTCCAGGACCCCGAAGTCAGAGCCCCAGGCTGCGGCCCCGTGCCGCCCCCCAGAGCACTCACCTGGCTGTCGTCCCCGCCCCGGGACTCGGGCACTTCCTCCTAGGAGCCCGCAGCCGCAGCTTCGGCTCACCTGTGTGCCCCGCCGGGGCCGGAGGGCACCGTGCCCCCGGGCGGGCCGGCCAAGGACAGCGGGGACAAGGTGGCGGAGGCCGAGCTGCAGAGACTGCGGCCTCCCTCGGCCCGAGCCGCGGGGGGGTGGGGGGGCACGTGACGTGGGTCCCCCTCTGCTCCGCGACCCACCGAGCCCGCCTCCCGCGGCCGCCCGTCAGCGGAGCTGAAAGATGCTCGGATGGACAGCTCCCAGCCCCACAGCACGGCGTGCCCCCTTGCCCCACGCGGCCTCTGGTGGGCTCCTGGTGTCCTGGCCCCAGGCGTGACCGGGAGGGGCCGGGCCAGCTCCACTGGCACAAAAAAGTTAAAGCCCTCTTTGTTTCCCGCTTGGAACCTATCTCCCCACTGCGGTGGGGATGAGGAAGTGAACCCGGGCTGCTGGGGATTTTCGAAAACCCTTTGCCATCTGGGTCACGCCTGCCTTCAGAGGCTGGTTTCGCATTAGCCAGCTCTGCCCACCACACACTGAACACCAGTCACGCCGGCCTACTGGCTGCTCCCGACTCCGCATTCCATCTCTGCACAGGCTGTCCCCGTGCCTGGAGCTCTCCCTCCCACCACTGCCTCTGGAAGCCTCCAACGCCCTTCGAGGTTCAAAACGAGGACCAGTTGCTGAGGGAAACCTTTTCTGACCCCCCTCCCCCCAGAGGTTAACACCCTCACCCCCCTCACTGCGAGCTCCGGTTAATAAATCCTGTACTTATATATGTGTAAATAACTCTATTTGTACCCCTCCCTCCCCCGCCAACCTGTTTGCAGGCCAGCCCCTGCAGCTGTCGGGGAGGGAAGAAATCTTTGAGGAGGAGACACTAACCTTATCAGCAGCCACTGCTGACCAGCTGCCACGGACAAACAGATAAACTTGGGGAAGGACAGGGAACAAATATTTATTGTATCTGCTGTGGCACTGCGCTAAGTGCTTTACCAATCTCATTTGAGCCCTGGGAGTGGCAGCCCACCCCCCCCCACTGGTCCGGCTTCTAGCCCAGCCCTTGAAGCCATCTGCAGGTGGGCAGCTCCTATGGAGAAGGGGGCAGCCAGCCCCACCAACTGCCAATCAACTGCCTCCCACTGGGCAAGCAAGCCAGCTTAACTGAATGAAGCAAGGATATGCCGCCTGAGTCAAACCACCCCCACCACTTTGACCACCATCTCCCCCCAGACCCTGATGGGGACAGCCTAGGCCTCTGAGCCCAAGAGCCTTGGGTAGAACCTGATGGGTTCCCTCCATCATCCCCCTGGGCAGCAGCCCCTGTGAACACTAAGCCTGCAAGGGTTGACTTTCTGCAGGGGCTGCAGCCACAGCTACTGAAAACCCAGAAACGGATCTACTTTGATCAATGGAAAATGACATTCAATTGATGAAATTGGTCCTAGAGCGCTGGGCCCGGAGTCAGGAAGACTCATCTTCCTGAGTTCAAATCTGGCCTCAGACACTACTTACCAGGTGACCCTGAGCAAGTCACTTCACCCTGTTTGCCTCAGTTTCCTCATCTGTAAAAGGATCAGGTGAAGGAAATGCATCTCCTCCCAATCTCTCCAGTATCTCTGCCAAGAAGACCCCAGATTGGGTCAGGAAGAGTCAGAACACCACTGAACAATACAATCATCTGCTTTGCTGTTACCCCGTAAGGACTACGAGTCCTTTCCTTCTGACTTGTAGCTGACTTGTGAGGTCTCCCCAGTAGACTAGGAGCCCCTTGAGGGCAAGGACTGTCTTGTTGGTTTGTAAACATAAAACTTAGCTCAGTACTTTGGTAGTTAGTGCTAAATTTTATTCATTCATTAATGTGAATATATAACCTACCAGGGGTAAGGTCTGGGGTAAGCTTCTTGAAGTCAGGGATGATTTCATTTTTGGATTTTCAGCTACTCTCTGCTTAATGAACATTTGTTCAGTTGTTTTTCAGTTGTATCTGACTCTTTGTGACCCCATTTGGCGTTTTCTTGGCAGAAATACTGGAGTGGTTTGCCATTCCCTTCTCCAGCTCATTTTCCAGATGAGGAAACTGAGGCAAACAGGGTGAAGTGACTTGCCCAGGGTCACACAGCTAGTAAGTGCCTGAGGCCAGATTTGAACTCAGGAAGAGGAATCTTCTTGACTCTAGGCCCAGAGCTCTATGCACTGGGCCACCTAGTTTCCCAGATTGAATTGTTAAAGTCCAAGGCTGCTCCTATGTACAACTCAACCATTCCCAAGAGACCTCTCAGTGGGTTACCCTGTACTCAGGGCACTGGATGATCTTAAAGCTTCATCAAGAATCTGGGGTCCAGATCCAAAATATGTCCATGGAGCTGTCCAGAGTGGCCACAGGGATGCATCTAAATCCAGAACAAAGGCTTCATCCTTTAACTTTGCTGAGTTCATTGGGTCATAGGTTTGGAGGGCACAGAGAAGTAAAAAAATTTGTCCCAAGTTCACAGGGCTAGAAAGTAGCAGGAATGTAATTTGAAGCCAAGCTCTCTAATTCTACCTTGTGCCTCTTGACCCATCCCCTCTTGGTCCCTCTCTCCACAGCTGTTATCTTCATCTTGCTGAAGAGGAAACCGAGGCTCTAAAAGGGGAAATGACTTTTCCAAGGACACGTGGTAAATTAGTCATAGATCTGTCCTGGAGTCCCCCACAATCCAACTTCAGGCCACTTTCCTAGCATGATGTTGATAACAATAAAGTCAAGAGGTATAGAAACTGGGCTCCCTTTGGGATGGTGAGGGCAGATAGAAAGGGATTTATGATTATGGGCTAGACCAGGAGACCCACAAAGTCCCTCCCCAGCAGTCAATTAGAGGTACAGCAAGTAAGCCTATATGTGTGGAGGAGAACAATGTGAGCACCTTTAAATGTTAGAGGGGTTTATTTTGATCCTACAGGTTATAGGAGTAACTGGAATTTAATGAGTAGAGACAGGAGTAACAAGGTAAGATCTAGCCTTCAGGAAAATCACCTTGGCAGCTGTTTGGAGAATGGACAAGAATGGGGAGAGTTTGGAGGCAGGGAGGCTTATTCCAAGGCTGCTACGATAGCCCAGACAGATGTAATGAGAGTCCAAACTACAGTGCTGACTGTAAAAAAGGAGAAAAGGAAATGGTAGCAAGAGAGGTTGGGGAGGCAGAATCAACAAGTCTTCGAAACTGATGGGAGATATGGCATGAGAGTGAGTAACTTGTGAACCTGGAAGAATGGCTGGGAGCCTGGGATTCCGGGGTCCTTGATAGGTGCCTTTGATGGCATCTCCTCCTAACCTCTCCAGCCAATTTCCTCCACTATCATCTCCTCTCTCACTGATCTTCAGCCTCTTCCTATCTTCGGGTTTCTTACCTGCTGCCTGCAGACACAACCATGGCTCATCCTTTAAGAAAGCCTCACTTGATCCTACAGGTGTCACTAGCTATCAGTCTCTATCTCTCTTCCCCTTGGTGGATAAACTTGCAAAAGCCATCTGCCTTGACTTCCTCTTTTCCAAACCCTCATCATTCCACTGGAACTCTCTCTCCCAAGTTATCAAGGCTGTCTTTAGTGTCAAACCCAACGACCTTTTCTTAATCCTGACCTTGATATTGGCGGTGTTGGTCCCATTCTCCTCTCTGGGTTTTTATGACTTTCTCTCTTTTGACTCCTCTTGTCTGTCTGGATGCTCCCTCTGTCTTCTCTGCTGGTTCTCCACCCACGTCACACGCACCGACCATGAGGCTCCGTTCTTGGCTCTCCCTCATCAACCCCTCCTTGTTCGATGAGTGTCTTCATGTGTGTTTCTCTGAGAATCAGCCCTGATCTCTCCTGATCTCATCTTGTCTCACTGACTGCTTCCTGAACATCTCCAGCCAGCAGTGCCATAGGCATCTTCCTCTCCACGTGTCCCAGACAGATCTCATTCTCTCCCCTACCCCAGCTCCCCAGACTGGTCGAGGCTTCTTTATGACTGTGGAGGGCTCTGCTGTCCTCTCAGTCCCCCTGGCCCCGAACCTGTATTGTCCTTGAATCTGCTTTCTCACTAACTGTACATACGGATACCAACCATCACCAAGAAGTTCTGTTGTTTTTCCTTCCTGACACCTCTTGTATCCCTGCCCTTCAGTCCACACATGCAGCCACCACCCCAGCTTAAGGCTTCCTCACCTCTTGTCTAGTTTATTGCAATGGCCTTCTGATTGGTCTTCTGGTCACTCATCTGTCCCCGTTCCAGGCCATCCAAAGGGATTTGTTAAAAGCCCTCCTCCTCAATATGCTCTGGTGATTCCCGGTTACCCACAGGATCAAATATCAAGTCCTTCATAATCTGGCCCCTTCCTCCCTTTCCAGTCTCCTCATCCCTTCCTACCTGCTATCTATGTACTGCCCAGTGTGGCCATATTGACCCATTTGTAGTTCCACATGTGATGCCCCCTCTCCTCTCTCTCTGTCTTTGTACTGGCTGTCCCCCAGGTGTGGAAGGCTCTCCTGGGCCTCCCCTCCTAGAATCCCTGGCTTCCTGTGATACTCTCATCAAGGGCTACCTTCTGCACTGGAGCCCCCCAGCTGCTAGGGCCTTCCCCTCTAAGGCTACTTTCCCACTCTCTATAGGTTGTCTCCCTCGTTAGAATGTAAGCCTCTTGAAAGCAAGAACTGTTTTTGCTTTTTTTCCCTCCTAGTTCTAATCTTAACACAGTTCCTGGTGTTGAGGTTTAAGGGTGCTGGGACCCTGAAATAGCGACGTAGCTCCTGCCTGAATGAATTTGATCCAAGCCTTCTTTCAACTGAAGACAAGATTTATTAGAACACTGATTGAGGTGAGAGAGATTCCTAGTGAGTCTGTGCTATTGGCTAGATTTTAAGAATCTGAGCACCTTATTGGTGCCCAAGGTGGATCTTATATACAGAAAGACCGTGGGAGGGATCTAGGAGTGTCCAAGTAGTCTGGGGTGACTGTGAGGAGGGATCTAGCAAGATCTGGATGG